TGGCAAAGCCCTCGTTTAATACTCCCATCTGTAAGATAAATATTAGCCCGTCACTGCCCGTATCGATTTGCGCTAAGGTTAAAAGCTTCAAGGGCCTTGGCTTGAATATGGGCTGCTTGGCAACTTCCCTTCACCCCCGCGGTCAGATCGGGTCTGACCCAGACAGTAGAATCCTGCTCCTTGATTTCTTCCCCCATATGTGATTAAATGCTGCTTCTCTCTCCGTCACCCCAACCTTAACCCTGGACCTCTCCGCTCCCAGGTCACTTAACCTTGAACCCAATTACAAGATAAGGTTACTTAAAGGTGACCCCCGCTTTGCTTTACTCAGCTAATAGGACGGTCGAGAAAAAGCCCGGCGCAGCTGATATGCTTCTAGCTAATTCACAGGGGTTGACAAAGGTCGCACTCAAGCCATAAAGAAGAGCTTCGATCTCTTGCGCGAAATGAAACTCAGCAATACACAAAGACGGTCAGAGAGCGGCTGGAGAGCCAGCAGCGCAGCCTGCTATTCAAATAAGACATTTTTGATGCATTCCAGTCAACCTGAAGTATTAATGTTCATACACAGGTCACACTGTCAACCAATTTTGGTTTTCTGTCAGATTGGATCTTTCTTGCATGAGTGAAAACGGCAAAAAAACTATTGAGATTTCTCTGCACCCAATTTGGGCCACTTTTATGATATTCATGTCTGATTTTCCTCTTTATTTGGGAATTTTCATTATTGTTGCACCACTGATAAGCTAAGGTAAAGTTACTGAATGCATAGAAAAATGTGTGCATGCAATTAGTATTTTTGATATGGTTGTCAAACACGCAAAAATTTTAATGCTGATTAATTGAATGGTGTTTTTTCATGGTTTAATATGCCATGTTTTAGTCTTATTAGTGTTATAGTAAATTAATAGTTCAAAGCTGAATTAACTATAATTATGATTAAATGCAAAAAAAAGTTAATGTGAATTTTTTTTAATAGAATTTGCATATTTACACGATTAAATAAAAAAGTAAATATGCTATTCATTCATTCTTTGATTAATTCATTAATTCCTTAATTCATTCGTTTATTTATATGTAATTAAAGTTGTTTTTAAAAGAAATGTCAGTAACCTACTGTATTAAAATGACCTTACTTATAGTCATGCAACCTATTTTTAAATTTATATATGAGCAATATTGGAAGCTAAGCTGTCCAAACAAGCAATGAAACAGCCCTTCTTGACTGCAGAAATTTTCCTTTGTTGATCAGTTTTTACATGTCAGTGTCATTCAGCAGATAGTATGCATTCAGAGCGATCTGCAGTGCACTAATAGCAGAGACTCTTCTCTCCAGCAGCGGAGGTTAAGCGCTGTGCTAAAGGCCACTGTGATCACAGTAAGACTGTGATCCTGATAAGCTTCTGGTTACTGGGTCACACTTGTTTGAGACAGAACCTTCAGCCTGTGTCAGCAGTCATGGACTTGTTAACATTATATCACCACCAACTCACAGCAAATTATACAATTTCTATAGATTATATATTTGTTTAGCCATGAGGCATGATTTGCCATTAAGTCAAAATAGTAATAGTAATGAATCCATCAAGATGGAACAGCCTTTGCACATAAAACTCGCATGATTTTATGATAGAATAGAATTATTTGGATATAGATATACTTCACTGCATTCACTATTACAGACAGAGTTAATGAAAATGACATCCAAATTTACTTACCCTCATGTCATTTCAAACCCGTATGACTTTCTTCCTTCTGCTGGACACAAAATATTTAGAGAAATGTTGGGATCATTTGTATGGACAAATTTTTTTTAAAAAATATTAATAGTACTTATTATTATATATTTTATATAATTTACATATTGACCACATGGTTAAATGCATAATTAATTATGATTAAATGAATTAAAAAAGAAGAAAATATATAGTCTATTTTTAAAATAAACACAC